TTTCCTTAGTCATACATATTGCCTCCCAGCATTGCATAATTCTTATTGCATGCACAGTCACATTTCTCTTTTCACTCTATTACCCTCTCTTCTTTCCTTTCCTGTCTTCTTCTCTCTCCTTATGTTAGTTGTCTATTACTGCTTAACAAACCACCCAAAATAGTGGGTTTAACAACAATGTAATTGTCTTTCATGCTCTTTGTGAATTGACTGGGCTCAGCTGGGTGGTTTTTGCTTTAGGTCTCTCATGTAATTGTAATCACATGGTTGCTGGGCTGGAGTTATCCAAAGTCTCTACAGAGCTAGACATCTAGGAAAGCTCTTTTACTAACATGTCTGATGCGTCAGCTGATGTGGTTTGGGGTTGGTCACACAGTTTTCTCTCTCTCCCCATGCAACCTCTCTACATGGTTAGCTTGGGCTTCCTCACAGCATGAAGTTTCAGGGTAGTGGACTAAATACATACTAGTTGCCATCAAGTAGTCTCAGACTCTTGGTGACCCACATGTGTCAGAGTAGAAGTGTGCCCCATAGGGATTTCACCTGGCTGATTATTTAGAAGTAGATAATCAAGCTCATCTTTCAAGGCACCTCTGGGTGGACTTGAACTTGAAACAAACATTTCAGTTAGCAACCAAGCCCATTAAACTGTTTGCATCACCCAAGGACTCTTCAAATTGAATGGCCCCTGAGCCCAGGAAGTCAATTTAGAGATGGTGTTCCAACTTGAAGAGAAGTAGAGATAATGAAATATTGGCAGCAAGGACATCAAGTATGAGGCAGTTGTGACAGTTTAGGTGAATGACAGTTATCTCCAGGATAGTGGCTGTGGAAAACCAAAGGAGCAGCATATTCAAGAGACACTGAGGAAATAATATGGACAAGACACAACTGATCAGTTGGTGTGGAGAACTAGGGTAAAGGAATAGTTGAGAATGACTAAAGAATGTAGTCAATAGACTCTGGTAAATAGTGGCTGCAATATCAAAGAGGATTTCAGAAACAGGAAGTGGTTTGAGGAAGATGGTGAGCAGTTTGTTCCCTCCAGTGAATTTGAGATACTGGTGTGACATCTAGATGGAGAAGCAAGTTGGGACTGTGGGAATGATGTTAGGAGGGAGGTCCAAACAAATTGCTTTGGAATTTGTCCATATAGAGTCATAGCTAGAGCCACTCCTGTGGATTGGGCTGTGGAGGAAGAAATTGAAGATAGAGCTTTACAGAACTTCTAGGGAGTGAGAGGATGAAGAGGAAACAATGAAACAGTCAGAGAAGAAAAATTAGAATAGTCTTGTGTCATAGAGGCCAAAGAAGGAAGAGACTTTTAAGAGGGAAGTGAGTTATCAGTAGCATGAAATGCAATAGGAAAGTAAATAAAAAATCTGTGGGCATTGAGTCGATTCTGACTCATAGCAACGCTATAGGCTGTAATCTCTACAGAAGCAGACTACCACATCTTTCTCCTTCTGAGTGGCTGGTGGGTTTGAACTGTCAACCTTTCAAATAGTAGCTGAGTGCTTAACCACTGTGCTACCAGGGGACCTAGAAAATTAAATAGCAACAATAAAATACTGATATTAACTGTATATTAGGGGCTTCCTATATGCCAGCCTCTCATCTAAGCACTTACATTAATTTATTTAAGCCTCATAACCACCCTATGAGGTAGTTATTACTGTTGTTCTCATTTTACGGACAGGGAAACTGAAAACAGAGAGATAAGCAACTTAGCCAAAGTCACACAGCTGGTGAGATGCAGCATCTATTGGCTCTAAGATCCATATTCTTACAAAAATACCACATATCTGTTTAAAGGGTTAGTTTGTTTCTGATATAAACCTGTATTTTGTATCCACATGTCCTAAGTTGGTTATTATTCCTGGTTTTTACTCACTGTTCTCTGGAGAACACAAAAATCATTGTTCCATGTGTAAGAATGTGAAGAATGTTAATACGTGTTTAGTAATTCATTTTGGATCTATGAAGATAGATTTTTTTTTTTTTTTTTCCCCACATTCTACGTCCTTGCTATTCAGGGAATCCATGACCCCAATTAAAAAAAAAAAAAAAAAACCTGTTGATGTTGAGTTGACTAAATCACAGGGACCTAGTGTGTGTCAGAGTAGAACTGTCCTCCATGAGGTTTTCAATGGCTAATTTTTTGCAAGTAGATCATCAGGACTTTCATCTAAGGCACATCTGGGTGGACTCAAACTTCCAACCTTTCAGTTAGCAGCCAAAAGCCACCCAGGAATTCATCACTCCTTGGCATAGCAGCTGTCTTTCTTCAGATGAGCCTTCCAAGAAATCTAAGTGGAAGAAAGCTCAGAGCTTCTTATGACCTAGCCTGAAAGTCATGTAGCACCATTTCTGCTACAGTCTATTGGTCCAAGGCAGGTCACAGAGGCAGCCCAGGAGAAGGGACCATCCATTATTGTGGATTCAGGAGGTGTGGTTTATTTGGATGTGGGGGGAGGACACCTCTCCAAAGACTATTTACCATGATTTTCACTTATTGGAATTTCTGTCCCTTTCTCCATTCCTAAGAGCTCTGGTGGTATAGTGGTTAAGTCATTTGGCTGCCAACTAAAAGGGTGGTGGTTTGAATCCATCAGCTGCTCCATGGAAGGAAGATGAGGCAGTCTGCTTCCATAAAGATTTACCTCCAATGGGGGTTGCTATCAGTTGGAATGGACTCAATAGCGGTGAGTTTTGAGTTCTCTATTTCTGCTTCATGTCTGTATATTCTTCCTAATTGCTTGTTAACAGAGATTTACAACGTCTTAGAATTCTAATGTATGCTGTCAAGTGAATCTGAAGAAATGTATTTTCACTTAGCTCTATTAAAATCAGTCACTGAAAAGGCCCTGTAGTAAGGTTCAATGACTGTTTTTTAGAACGTCTCTTTGGGAAATCAGATTTGATTCACTTTTTAACCAATGATGATAACATATCAGACTTAAAGGCAGATCAGTTTTAGGGAAAAGTGATACGCCGTCATGTGTGGGTGTCCTTGGGTGAACTTCACAACAATATTGCTTTTCATGCTTAGCCATTAATTAGAAAGCCTGCTTTCTGGTTGAGACTGAACCATGATTTGCTTTCTGATTGGATCACTTTCTACTTATATTCAAGCTCTTACGTAAGCCACAGCTCGTTGTTTTTGTTTTGTTTTTAACCTCCAAAATACAAAGAGAGAAAACTTGAATCTAAAAGATTTGTTGCACAGTCACATGGCCATTTCAGAAATGCTTTATTTAAGGCCTGGTATACATGGCTTAACTTCCCATAGCTTCTGCAAATTCCATTGAGAGCTTAGATTCTTCTCAAGAGTTATTGACTTTTTGTTTTGTAAAAGAAGCACCATTTTCTGTGGTGATTATGGACAATAATACATGTGGGAGTAAATGGGGATTTGGAAGTGGCAAATAATTTGATATTTTTTTCTACCCACAAGCCCTGGGAAAGCACTACCATAAAGGATTAATTTGCTCATGAGATTTCATTGTGGTTGTCATTAAGAAAAAACTCACAGGACCAACAGGGCAGAACTGTTTCAATTCTGGGGAAAACAGGCAGGGATTTATGGTGGGAAACAACAGAACATTCTTTTTGTTTTTTTCACAAAGATTATGAGTTAAGCATTTGAGGTTTGATAGCATTTCTCTCACAAAGCACTTTCTAGAGACACCTTAAGGCTAACTGTGAAAAAATGATCATCAGTAATTGCAGTTTTCTGTAATTTGCTTTCATGAAGGAAAAGATTTTATTTAAAAAAATTAGACTCAATTCTCTCCCCCCATTTTTCTTTTCCAATTCAAACCATTGCAAAATTGCAAAATGTTTCATTTGTGATTTACCTCCACACCTCTTTTCTTATACTTGGGTTCTGTAAGTAGATGAATGAAGGCTCCGGCAGCTTCTCAGTACAAAAACTCTCTCTCTTCCAAATATTTCTGCCTCAAAAGACACTAGTTTAACTCATCACCATGGAGCTGAATCCAATTCATAGCAACCCCCATTGGATTTCCGAGGCTGTAAATCTTTATGGAAGTAGATTGCCCCATCTTCCTTCCTCAGAGCGGCTGTTGGGTTTGAACCGTTGACCTTCTGGTTAGAATCCAAATGCCTTATTCCCACTATACCACCAGAGTTCTTTCAGATGACACTAGTAGGGGAGAGCATTAACGAGAGCATCATTTTCTGTGAAGCTTTACTCTACACTGAGCAAAATGCCCCCGAACAGTCATCAAAATTTGAGGACCCTTCAAGCTCCAGGTCTAGCTGATATACCCTCCTAACCCTGCTCCCCCTACAGTCTCCTACCACAAGTCTGCTCATGGTTACCACTGATCACATGTACTACTGGTGGTGAGAAAAAACCAACTGGAAGGAGGAAAGGAGCCAAGAGGGAATACCAGTGCCAGTATTGCCAGATGCATTTGTATTCACTATTTCATTAATTCTCACAACATCCCTGTGAAGTCATATTATTCCCATTTTTGTACATGAAGAATGGTCCCTGGGTAGCACAAATGGTTTGCCCTTGACTACTAACCTAAAGGTGGGCGGGTCATACCTACTCAGTGGTGCCAAAGAAGAAAGACCTAGTAGCCTGCTTCCATAAAGATTACAGCCAGAAAAACCCTATGGAGCAGTTCTCAGGGGGTCTCCTAGGGTCTCCATGAATCAGAACTGGGCAGTGGGTTTGGTTTTCTGGCTTGGTACATGAAGAAACTTGAATCCAAGAGTTTAAATAACTTGCATTTGTGCAAATTGTTTAAACTAAATATTTAAAGTACTTAAAATGTAAAAACTTTCTTTAACCCTTGGATAAAATAAAGGATTTTAATCTAAGCCTATTTGACAGCAGAGTCCAGATCCTCCTATTGGTAACTGGTAATCCATTTAAGAAGTAGCATGGGGAACTTTCATGAGGTGAGCCTGTGGCACTTAGTCAAGTAACAAAAGCTGTCACTCTCTCTTGTTTAATCTTATAGTGGAGTACGACAAGGAGTTCTCCCCTCGCCAGCGACACCACAAAGAGTTCAAGTTCAACTTATCCCAGATCCCTGAGGGTGAGGCGGTGACGGCTGCAGAATTCCGAATCTACAAGGACTGTGTTGTGGGGAGTTTTAAAAACCAAACTTTTCTTATCAGCATTTACCAAGTCTTACAGGAGCATCAGCACAGGTATGAAGGCTTAAGGAAGCCCTAAAGGGCGGGGCTGGCCCCGTTTCTCTCTCTGTCATCATGTAACACCATTTGTGTCTGTGGAAGGTGGCTTGCAGTTCAGGGCAGCACATGAAGATGATGGGATATATGATCTGCATGATAGTGTTTGGCTGACAAGAAGATTATTATTAAGTTGAAGGTGTTCCACATAATTTTTCTTTCCTAAGCAAGCTGTGAACGATATATATTTACTATGCATCCTTTGTGATCAGAGAACTATATAATTTTGGGGGGATAAAATGGTTCCCACTGGTGTGTAGTCCCCACAAATGATGGGGAAAGGTAGCTAAAATGAATTCACATACGAAAATTATGTTAAAGATGCTTACAAATGGTACTAATTCAAGCGAAGAAGACAAGGCTTTGTATTTCTGCAAATGTATGTTTATCTGTGAGTGAGTGTGTGAGTGAGTATGTGTGTGTGTTGAATATATTTTATCATCTGGCTACAGGGAACAATAGATTTTTTCTCCATATATCTATATTATTCTTGTTTTCTGAAATGAGACCAGATCCTTTTACAAAAGAGTTGCAACAGATGGTATCCATGGGGCTGCCTAGGAATAAAGAGAAACTTCCATGAGGTGGCTTTGGAGAGCATGGGAGGGTGAAGGCTATGGAGTATTAAGCAGTTAGCTCAGACCTATAGTACTCAAAAAGTAGGCCAAGTAATTTTGAATTTTGCTAGCATTTTGGGGTCAGTTTAGTAGTTCAGCAAGAATTATACACATGATGTACAGATGACTGTTTCTACACAGTTCTCGGAGTGCAGAAGTAGAAACTCAATACAGGATATGATGGTTTAATAGTTAACTCACTGCTGTCAAGTCTGATCTGACTCATAGCGACCTCTTCTTGGGTTTCTGAGGCAGTATCACTATGGAAGTAAATTGCCCAACCTTCCGTCTGAGGAATGGCTGGTTGGTTTGAACCGCCAGCCTTCTGGTTAGCAGTCAAATGCCTTAGGTACTATGCCACCAGAGCTCCTAGATACAAAAAAAAAAAAAAAAAAAAGCAACCCCCTTTGGGTTTCTGAGGTGGTAAATCTTTACAGAAGTAGATTGCCCACTCTTTTTCCACAGAGTGGATGGTGGGTTTGAACTGCAAGCCTTCTGCTTAGCAGTCAAATGCCTTAGACACTATACCACCAGAGCTATAGGAAGATGGAGTTAAAGGAATGGAGTACAGAGGGAGAGGGAGCCCACCTTTACATACTTTCCAAGCAATTTGCTAATTTTAAATCAAATTTGCTAGTTATAAACCAAAAAATAAATTCTTCCTTTTGGTCTTGGAAACCTGCTGACTTCCCAAGAATTTCTAGTTGTTTGGAATGACTTTGGCTTCACCTGAATTTATAGGTTTGTGTGGGCCTGTTATAAATATGCACACTAAAGTGATAATGATTGTTAAGTTGCTTCCAAAAGATTTCTCTTAGTTTGAGAACATCACCAACATCTGGCACCTGTGCATCTTCAAGTCAATAATGGGGGAGGAGCAGGAAGGGCAGATGCTAGGCTTTGGGTGTGTGTTATGGTGTTTTATGTGATATGTGATTTCTTAGCTGGCATAGTTAACAGATAAGTAAAATCTAGCTATTATGATATCTTTCTAATGGACTAAAATTTCAAAATGAAAGAGAAGTTTTCTGATGTCTTAAGATTTTTAGTCTTAAACAAAAGTATCTCCAATGGCATAATTGTTGAGGGTCTATTTGAAAAACAAATTATTTGTTGCTTGACTTTCTTTTTATATTTCAATAAGAATTTGTGTCCAATGATTGTTTGGAAATATTTTAGCCATTGATTTGCAATCTGCCTAATTATTTATGCCATTATATTTCTCTGGCAGGAAGAACCAACTGGTAACTTTTTTTGCTCAGGAATTTGTTTGGAATATCTTATTTTCTCTGTCTTTCAGGGAAACCCTTGTAGTAGAAACAGTAGGTTGGGAGTTATGTGACTCTGGAGTTGTTTTTTTTTTTTTTTTAAATTCTTGTTATTAAATGAAAAAAAAAAAAAGGGATCTTGCAGAACATTTGTGAGGTTTATACTGAACTCCAGCCAAAAAAGAGCAGCTGCCTTGTGCTTAAGATGGTGGTGTCATACTTTCTTGAGGCCAGCAGTGAGTTTGAAAAACAAAATCCCAAATTGTCCCAGCCTTTGATGACTCTCTCTCCAAGCCAAGAACTGCAGCTTCTCTGCCTTCTAGGACAGGAGTGTTGGCTGTTGGATGTGTTTCATTTTTGTACATAAGGAGAGGGGAAGCACTGAAAGAATTGGGAGAATGTCATGCTTTTGAAGGGTTCCAGATTGGCAGGAAGATTTTCTTTTCTTATCTGTAGGCCAGGAGCCCAGGCCTCCGGCTGGCTCCCAACGTTCTTCCAAAGGTCCCCAGACTTAACTGCATGACTCCTTCTGGGGGAAGGGTTTGCTCTCCCATCTGCACCAGCTTGATGTCTTGGCTGGAAACGATTCTCTTGGCTTGTGAAGAAACTTATTTGTCTAATCCATGTTTAAGTGAAATTTTTAGTATTTGATAGATTCACTTAACAAATGTTTGTGTTGCAAAATAGTTGGCTGCTTTGAAAAAGAAAAAAAATAAATAAAGTCAGGTTTTTGAATGCTGAGTCATCCACTCAGCTGAGGCTGGAGAAGTTATGTGTTGGGCCTCCAGATAGAAAAAGCTAGGAAGCCCCACCAAGGAGGATTAGAAAAGGTTCTTCATAGATGGGCCTTTTTGTGAACTCTGCAGAAATATGTTCCTTTGACTGATAAGAGGTGATTGGACCAGGTAAGTTAAAAAAAAGTGGTAATTTGAGTAGAGAGTGCTTTTAATAGGAGCAAGGAAGCATTTGATACTTTTTTCAAAACCCGAGAATAAAACCTGGAGAAGACTCTGAATTATGAAAAGATCTGAAGCAACCCGATTGGAGTATGATCAGCAGCTGAATATTTTGCACGGTGAAGGCCCTTGCACTTAATTTCTTAAGATTACTCTTTTGGGATTGTGTGGTATTAGTTTTTAAGTAGGGTTAGTGTTAACCTTTGGTGTTATAAATCACTATCTTTATGATGACACTGGTAAAAATTTGCATTCATACAGTGGTTAAAGCATTTGGCTGCTAACCAGAAAGTCAGCTGTTTGAACCCACCACCTGCTCCCCAGGAGAAAGATGAGGCAGTCTGCTTCCGTAAGATTCACAGGCTTGAAACCCTATGGGGGCAGTTCTACTGTGTCCTATAGGATCAATATAAGTCATAATCAACTTGATGGCAGTGGGTTTTGAGATAGGCAGAAGAGACTGAGGTTACCTTTTAGAGAATGAATCATGGTATATATGAATTTTGCCAAGTCCAAATGTTGTTGTTATGTGCCATCGAGTCGGCCCTGACTCATAGCGACCCCTCCTTGGGTTTCCAAGGCAGTATCACTACAGAAGTAGGATTGCCCAACCTTCCTTCCGAGGAGTGGCTGGTGGGTTTGAACCGCCAGCCTTCTGGTTAGCAGTCAAGTGCCTTAGGCACTATGCTACCAGAGCTCCTAAAATTTTCCATAAAGATTTGCCACCTTGGAAACCCAATGGGGGTTGCTATGAGTCGGAATCAATTCGATGGCAGTGGGTTTGATTTTTTGTTTTTTTATGCTTCCTGAAGTTGCCCCAAAGACATGGGGACAGTCCCAGGGTAAAGGTGAAGTGTCAGAAAGAGGTAATCAGTCTTTTGTGGATACAGTCTCCTTGTGGCATCCTTCCCTGTCCCCCACTTCCTTAGCTTTGATGCAAGTAGCCCTTCTGTTTGGATGGCAAATGAGACAGTTCTGTTGGTGAAAAGTACCAGGCCTTGGTACTTTGGCTTTCCAGGCTTCTCTAAGGAAAACTTTTGAACCGACTAAAAAGTAGAATAGGAATGGGAAAAAAAAATCATGTCAACTGGCAGAAATTCTATTTCTCTTATTGGAACCCTGATGTTTGTAAGCCTGTGATGGCAGTACCTGGTGCCTTTATACCTAGATGTTGTAGTCGAACGTTACTACTGATATGCACACCCTGGAAGTGAATGTTTTCCTCATCTATAAATTGGAGTTCATGATGCCCATCCTGTCTGCTTTGGAGTTTTATAAGGAGCAAATGAAATCACGATGTACCAAAGGGCTTTTTAGTTTATATAATACAGTGAAAATATTAATATCATTGAAACCTACTTCTTTAATCCCAGAGGATTCATTTGGTATTTGTTTAAAATATGTTGTTGTTAGGTGCCATTGAATTGATTCTGACTCATAGTGACCTTGTGTACGATAGAATGAAACAGTGCCCAGTCCTGTGCCATCCTCACAATCATCGCCAGGCTTGAGCCCATTGTTGCAGCCACTGTGTCAATCCATCTTATTGAGAGGTCTTCCCATTTTTCACTCACTCTCTACTCTACCAAGCAGTTATCCTTCTCCAGAGATGGGTCCTTTCTGACAACATGATCAAAGTACGTGAGATGAAGTCTATCCATTCTCACTTGTAAGGAGCATTACAGCTGTACTTCTTGCCAGAGAGATTTGTTTGTTTTTCTAGCAGTCCATGGTATATTCAATATTTTTCACCAACACCACAATTCAAATGCATTCTTTTGTGGTCTTCTTTATTCATTGTCCAGCTTTCACATGTATATGAGGCTATTGAAAATATCAAGGCTTGGGTTAGGCACACTGTAAGCTTCACAGTGACATCTTTGCTCTATAACGCTTCAGATAGGTCTTTTGCAGCAGACTTACAAACATGTCATATGATTTCTTAACTGCTGCTTCTATGGGTATCGATTGTGGACGTAAGTAAAATGAAATCTTGAACTTCAATCTATTCTCTATTTATTGTGATGTTGCTTATCACTCTAGTTGTGACAATTTTTGTTTTCTTTCTGTTGAGGTGTAATCCGTGCTGAAGGCTGTAGTCTTTGATCTTCATCAGT